CGGGTAAAATATATCGGGTAGATCTTTACCATTTATATACACACAAACACACACACCTACATTGGTTTGTGTGTGTGTGTAGATAAACGGTAAAAAATCACCATGTGTGGTCTTCACTGTGTGTAGTATATGAATAACCGACTTGAGCAAAGACCAAAAGATAATAAAAAATAATTAAAAAAAAATAGTAAATGATTTGATATTGTCTCAAAGTAGACAATAAAGATCATCGCAATATGGTTTGATACTGTCCCGCAAGGTATAGTTTAGTGGTTTGAGCAAGTGAATTTGGGTCTATTAATTCTAGTTTGAATCCCAACGTTAATGACGACGAGATTCGATTATCTTTACTCATTGTTGTGTGACAGTTACGTACGTAATTGTCTATAGTCAATAAATCAACTATGTTTTTTTTACAGTTGATTTATTGTTTTTAAGTCCAATATACGGTTTAATATTTTAATCAACTAGAGTCGATTAATAAATTAACCACGCAAACGGTATAGTCAATTTACATCCAGTTTATTTCAGAATTTTGCCAAAAAACATATATGGAGAAGGATATCACTAATTATTTTCAAAGTGTGGACCTAGCTCGGTTTAGGGGACATGTCTCTTTCACCAATAAGCACATCACTTTAATATTTATTATAAATAAAGGAAACACTCATGTATATCCCAATATTACCCTCAACCATTTATACTCAATTCTTAATTGTAACCCCAAGTTAATCAATTTTGTCCACAAAAATCCAATTTTGACCACAAAAATTCAATTTTGACTTTTTTTTGGAGCATTATTTGAATATGCTCCAATTTCATCCTTTAACTTAATTTAATCTCAATTTGACCTCAAATTTCACAAATTATTCAATTTTGACCCAAAACTTTTTTTTTTCACAAACATTTTTTTTTCAAAAAACAAATTTTGCCGCCGGATTCCGCCGTTGACCGGCGGTCAACGACGGTCGCCGGCGTTGATTTTAAAAAAAAAAATTCTTTCTGTCTTCCGGATTTTTTCGCCGGTTTCCGGCGGTCTTTTTTAGTGTTTTTTTAAGTTTTTTTTTTTGGCTTGTTTTGTTTTTCCACGTCCGCCGCTAAACGTTGACCGTAATTGTGCTGTCATTGACGGTAAATTAACGTAATTGTACTGTCAATCATAGTTAATTGATGTAATTGTACTACCGTTGACATTACATTTATGTAATTGTGCTGCCGTTGACAGTAAATGAATGTAATATTATTATTTTTTATTTTTTATTGTTTTTTTTTATTTTGTTTGATTTGTTGACAAGTCAACGTAATTATATTACTGTCGTTGACAGTAAAATAATTGTAAACACAATTAATATTACTGTCAACAACATCAATATTATTATTTTTTTGGGGTTTTTGTTTTGTTTGAGTTATTCACGGAGTAACGTAATAATATTACTGACTATTATTGTAATATTACTATAAACACAATAATATTACTGTTGTTGACGGTAATTATATTATTGTTGTTATAGTAATATTGCTATCAACCACATCAATATTATTATTTTGTTTGGATTTTTTGTTTGGTTGAGTTATTCACGAAGTAACGTAATAATATTACTGTCTAATATTGTAATATTACTGTGGTTGACGGTAATATTACTTCTGCTATAGTAATATTACTGTCACTCACAGTAATATTAATTCTTTTGGTTTTTTTTATTATGTTTACATTTGTTGAACGGTCAACATAGTAATATGACTTTATTACACAATAATAATGAGTTTTGTTGTGTTAATATTAATGTGCTAGAGATTAATATAACAATATTATTGTGTTAAACTATAGTTTAGTTAATTTTACTGTGTTTAACAGTAAGATAGTTAATATTACTGTCAATCACAGCAATATTGTTGTTTAAACGAAAAAAAAAAGTTACAGAAAAAAAGAAAAGAAGAAAACGAAGAAAAAAAAATTAAAAAGTCAACGCCGGAACCCGGCGAAAAAATCCGGAAGAAAGAAAGAAAAAAAAATTGAAAAGTCAACGCCGGAGACCGGCGTTGACCGCCGTCAACGCCGGAATCCGGCGGAAAAAAAAAGTTTTTGAAAAAAAAAATTTGAAAAAAAAAAGTTTGGGTCAAAATTGAATAATTTATGAAATTTGGGGTCAAATTGAAGTTAAATTAAGTTACAGATGAAATTGGAGCATATTAAAGTATGAGGGGTTATTTTAGTCCTTTACAAAAATCTGGATCATGTGTGGACTTATTGGTAAAAAAAAATTTTGTTTTGATCTCTTTATAAATAAGTACCCATTGATGGGCTTATTTGTAAAGACCCCTACATCTTATATATAAAATAAAGAAATGCTGGGCAACCCTTAAAAAATCCTATGAAATGAAACCACCCAACCATTGGCGGAACTTGATAGGGACATGGGGGGCCGTTGACCCCTCCAAATTTTTTTTTAGATATTTGGTACTAAATGTTTTGAATATTACTTTTGCCCCCAAAAGTTTTTGTAAATATTTATCTTGACCCATTATTTTTTTTGTTTTTTCTCCAAAATCTTATATAAAATATAGATAAATGTATCATATTTAATATAAAATATAAAATAAGATGGTTAAAACTTGTATTATTTTAAATAAAATTTATGAATATTACTTATTTTTGAATTTTTTTTGTCTAACGCCTTAAAAAAAAAGATGAGATCGTGCCATGAAATCTCCGAAATATTTTGAAAATAATATGTGCAGTATATTATTAGAATTATTTTGAATTAATTTAGATTTTTTTGTGATGATTAATATATATATATATATATATATATATATATATGATATTTTAATTAAAAATTAGTTATATAATTACCCCTTTGTATTAAAATAATTAGCAGTATGCCTCCATATATGTTGTGTTTTTTAAAGCACATCGGTCCAGGTCCTTATCTCTAAATTTATTGTGAACTTATGGGAAATGACCAAATTACTCTTACAAAAGAAATATTTCAAAAGAAAAAAAAAATTCCCAAAATAAATTTTGAGGGTATTTTTTTAAGGGGCTATTTTCACAAAACCCCCCTCATTGTATTTCAGTAGAGGGATAACCCAAATTCAAATCACATATTTGAGATAAATCCAAATAATTCAATAACCCAATAGTACCCCTGTAGAGGCACGTGGTATTTATTAATCAGCCAAAACTTGTAAAATCACAACCTATTACCACGTTGCCGAAACAACTCCTACAATTTCTCCAAAAAAAGTGGGTTTCGGCAACAGTAATTTTGGATTCATGTCTTTCATGTAGTGTGTGTGTCCTTTTCAATATATATGCATTACTTAGAATAGTTGTTTTTAAAGTGAATTATTTGCTTGAAAATAGTGGCTTTCAGCAACATGTTTTGGATTCATGTCTTGTATGCGGTTTATTCTTTTTAAACATGAAAACCACTGTATAAATAGCTATATAAATATGAAAGCCACTATGTATAAACAGCTATATAAACATGAAAACCACTCTGTATAAACAACCATATAAACATGATAACAACCCTGTATAAACAATTATATGAACATGAAAACCACTCTGTATAAACAGCTATATAAATATGAAAACCACTCTGTATAAAACTATATAAACATGAAAACCACTATGTATAAACATCAATATAAACATGAAAATCGCTCTGTATAAACATGAAAATCGCTCTGTATAATTAACAAAAACCACTATATAATTAACGAAAACCGCTATATAATTAACGAAAACCATTACGAAAAATCCACTATAAAATTATCGAAAACCACTATATAATTAAAATACTCCATTGCAAAAAATCCATCACAAATATATCAAAATCCACTATGTAAATAACGTAACCCACTAAGAAACTCTACTACAAACTATCAAACTATAAATTCTAACAAGCCGACTATGAAACAACCATCTTCTCTCCCATAAACGAGCATATTCGATGTAATCTTCTTCTTCTTACATTTCTCAAGCCATCATCCACCTAGTCATCTCCTTCATGTTCACTCCACCTGCTCAAGAAACAAAAAATACTATTCAATGTGCTGGGAGATGAACATCAAAATTTATCAAAATAATATTTAAGAATTTCACTCTAAATAAACCACTTTGACTTATAAAATTAATAAGTTTGGGGTCGGGATTACCATCACTTCAAATATAGACGAAGAAAGAGTTCCTACAAAATTTTACAATTATAATTACTTTTATATACTTCATATAGTTGACTAATTCTATTGACGACCACTTTATTTTTCCTTTTTAATAAAAATCCAAAAAGAAAAGAAAATAAATATTACATATAAATTTTCCACCCGAGGAAAATGCAACAAAACTTTGCGGGGTTTTAATAGAATTCAAAATCATTTTTTTATTTTATAACTACACGCCAATTGTATGAGATTACCTCAGATGAAGTATTCGTTGGCTTCAGATCTGAAAAAAAAAAAAACAGATCTGGCGAGGCAATAAACACAAGATGGTGACGCGTTGGTGGTGGATTAAACAGAATATTGAGGAAAAGTTTGTAAATGGCGGCGGTTCGTTGATGAATAATTCCTCAGATCTCGCGTACTTCTTCGTTGCTAGCAGCGTGCAACAAAGGCGCAGTGGAGACAGATCAGTAACACTTCGCGGTGGCGATGAAGATTTTTTTATTGGAGGCAGAATTGGAAGCAGAGATGAATAACTAGGGTTTTGAGAAATATGACAGAGAGTAAAATGGTTGGGGGTTATGAAACGTGAAGTTAAAAAAAATATATGGAATAAGAAAAAAAATGGATAGGGGTAAAATAGGTGGTTCAAATGGAATGGGGCTATTATAAAAAGGGTTTTTTTTTTGGATTTATCCAAAGACAACTTGCAAATGAGGGGGTTTTCCCTAATAATCCCTTTTTTTAATCGAAGAAGTGAAAAACAGCTGTTTACTAATCGAAGAGTATATGTCGGCCGGGATCAGCATGCATGCATGAAAAAAAACAAAAACCAAAAAAAACAAATTATTATATTGCAATGAAAAAGATAGCACATACATCAATAATCATGGCAGTTTAAAAGTTCCCAAACATCAACATCTAAGAATAAACCACTATCATTCAAACAATCATTATTATTATTATTATTATTATTATGAGGAGGAGGAGGAGGCGGTGGTAGTCCCGGCGATAACAACGGCGTCGTTTCAATAAGTGGGTGGTACTGCTGGTCGGAAAATAACAGCGGCGGCGGAAATTCTGCATCATCTAGTTTTTCAGTCATTTCCAGCAAATCACCCCACCACTTATTAATGCTTTGATCATCTAATAATTCCTCTACATTATTATTCTTGAGTTTATTATTAATATCTTTATCATTTATTATTATTGTTTCCTTTGTTAATTTGGACGTCGTTACTATTACTTCATCGCTCGGATAATTAATTATATTATTATTATTATTATTGGACACGGTCCGTGGACGGGGCCTTATGATGTTATTCGCGGTGATCGTTTTCACGACGACGGCCGTTCTAGAACTTTCTCCAACGGCGGTGGTGGGTGACGTGGATATCTTGTGGAAGTGGGTGTTCCAGAAGTTCTTGATGTCGTTCGCCGTTCTTCCCGGGACTCTACCAGCAATCCATGACCATCTGCATAT